AATAACTACTTGGACTTCAATTTCTTTCATGGATTGTGAAGACGTCATGAAAGAAATGTATGTCTGAGAAAGAAAGTGACAAGAGCATGAAACAATCAGTAGGCAGGCAGCTTGGGTGCTCCTCGGTGGCCTTGAAATGGCCAGTCCTCTAGACAGTCCAGTCCTTCAGGAAGTCCCTCAGCATGTTTCAAACTTGTGGGAGTCCATGAACACAGGGGTCTCAGAAAAGTCTTTCTACCCGATCAGGCTTCTAGACTGAGTCAATACTAGGAAAGATCCAACTTCAGCCACTCAGGGAAATACATGAACAATTACTGCATTCGAAATTCACGAAACCCAAAAGCTTCTGTCAAATGTTCATATGACCATGCTCTCCGTACTGCAAAAATTTCCAAATGTCAGAACTGAGAGACATTGTTTGAAATTGTTTAAAATTTTAAAATATATTTTTTAAAAAGTTCCCCCCTCCACCAATGCATAAAGAAAATTTGAAACACATAAGCTCTCCAAATATTCCTCCACTTTGTAGTGGAAGCCAGCTTGAATGCAGAAGGACAGCAGTTTTGTATCCAATCTCCCAAGACTTCTCTTTATGTGATGATGATAAAAGGTGTGATTATGCTGATAGAGAGTTTTGCTCGTATAGCAGAGATGAATGTGGAAGTAACAACTTTTCAATCTGGGGTGTACACGAGACTGGAGTTTGGCTTAAGCTTTGGTTTTCCAGGGGTTCGTTTCCCACATCTCTGCAGCCCCCAAAGGTTCTTCTTAGCGCCCCCTGTCTCCCCTTGAGGTGCCTACCCTCTGTTCCAGAGGTTGAGAAGAGAATACTGTCACGACGGTTTCATTCAGCTCCTTCAAGACAGAAAATGCCCTCTACCAGAGCATCCCATAGCACGCGGTGTGAAAGACCCAGATATTTACCTACGAGGTCCCCATGCCCCAGGAATCAGGAGCCAAGTATCTTCTGGGCTGCTCATTCAGGTCCATTGAGCTAATCATTCTGAAGCCATGAGGCTGTCTCCAGTAAGGCATTAGGATGGTGATGAAATCACACCTGTTGAGTTTCTTCTCAACAAGCCCTGTTTTGTTCTTTCAACAGGAGGCTTGTCTAGTCACATCCTATACCTCTGAATTTGAAACCAAGTAGCCATAAAACTTGTCATGTAGGCTAAAACATCAGTGTAAAGCAAAGATAGCATTGGCCTTGGAATTGGGGTATCAGGATTCTAGTCCCAACATACTGTATCTCTTTGAACAAAACAAGTTTTAGACTTGTGTCAGGAAGCCATGGGTTCAAATACTGTCTTAGACACTTCTTAGCTATGTGATCATGTGTTAATTAATCTCCCTAACAAATTCCCCATTGATAAAGGGGAATGATATCACTGATGCTACTTTATATCAGAGTTCCATCTTGAGAAAACTCACTTTGTAAACCAGCATATTGTCTAGAAATGTGAGCTAACATTACTGAGGCTGTGGGATGCAGAGCCTTGGTATTTTACCAGCACCTCTGACACTCCAAGGCAAGTCAACTGACTTGAAGTCTCTGAGTCTCAGTCAACTCTAGGTCTCTATGTTGCTGAAGGGTTAAGACCTGCTACAAGGAAGGGCGTTCTAGTATTGAGGAAATCACAGGTCCTTGACCAAATGACATATGTTTACATTTGCTCAATGAAACTTCCCTGGCCTCAGACACTTACTAGCTGTGAGACCCTGGGCAAGTCACTGAACCCCAATTGCTTAAAAAAAAAAGAAACTTCCCAATAATTTGGTGAAGTAGGCCAGATAGGTTTTATTTTACCCATTTTCTAAACTGTAAAGTTGAGGCAGAAAAGCTGTAAATGATTTGGCTATGGTACTCCTACTCTAAACTATATTCTTTCCACTATAATCAAACATCCTGTCTTTGCTCTAAGCCTTAACCAGAGACTCCTGACCATTTTCAAATCCACATTACAATCGTAAGGGAAATCAGACCAGAAAGAATGGCTAAGGAAGCATCACCCCACCCCTAGTGCTCCAAAATCCACTCAGAGCTCATAACCCAAATGAGGGCAATTCAGTCTCAGTCTAAGAAGGGACCTGACAGGTCACCTAGTCTAACTTGCACCAGACCATGAATCGCCTGGAAAACAACCATCCTATTTGCAGAAAATAGATATTTCAATAGCATTCTACCTGTACAGGACACTGCTGGCTGAATTCCTATGGTATTCAAGCTATACATAGCACTTCCTATGCCACCCCTCCTCTGAGCCCATGGGACCTTTCCATGTCATGTGTCTCACCATTGAAATCTTCCATAACTGTTGGCTTTCCCTGTTTGAATATGAGCTCTTTGGGTGCTTGGACTGTTTTAGAGCAGTGCTGTGCACATGGAAAGTGCTTAGCAATTTTTTTTTCATTCATTCATATTATCCATTTGATTTTCACAACAACTCTGTGATTTAGATACTATTATTATCCCCATTTTACAGAATCAGAAACAGGCTTAGGTCAAGTGACTTGCCCCAGGTCACAAAGTTAATAGGTGTCTGAATCAGGATTTGAACCCAGAATTTCTTGATTCCAAATCCAGAGCTCTACCCACTATGCTATATTGCCTCTGTTAGGTAGAAGCATAAGCTACATGAAAAATCTGGAAAGGAGAAGGCAGCTGTGATCTTTTATGTTCCAAATAAACTACAGTAAATTGAAGAAGTTCCTATTTATATCAAACATCTTTGTGAGCTAAGGACCTTAGTGCTATGAGATGGTGGCCAAGCCACTTTATTCTCTGAGACTCAGTTTCCTTATGTGTGAAATGAGGGAGCCAGATTAGGATGTTTCCATTTCACAGGAAAAATTGAACATGTTCTCAAACCCACTCCTCTTTCCTAGAGATCATCTGTGCTTGGGACCAAAACCATCCAGAACATCAGCATGAGGGACAACCTTAGCTTAGAAAGGACCAAGAGAACACGGGAGCACAGAAAAGAAAAGGCTGGCAGCAATGGGGGAGGGGGAGGGAAGTATCCCAACACTTGTACCACCGCCTGGGGCCTCGCCCATCCTGGCTGGCTGGCTGGAACACATTGGATTTGGGAGCCCAACTGCATTTCCTACATATGGAAGAAACATTCCATTTGTGGCATGAAGCCCACAGCTGGGAGAAGACACCGATAAGGAAACTACGGTACAGAAGCTACTAATAACCAAACGGTACTCTATGACTGTGTGTAGTGTAGATTAAACCATTGTTTAATTTATGATACTACTCAAAATACCCCACTGGGTCCAGTCAACTCACTCCCCAACATTTCTTCCTCTCATCAGTTCTGGAAAGAAAATGATGTCTTGGGGAGCCTTTGGGGAGGGGAGAGGAAAGATGGGGTTGTCAATTTTTTAAAGGGAGGGTAGCAGGCAATAGTCAGGATGACAACCTGGTTTAAATTTAAGCATTTCAAATTGTACAAAAAAGGATGTTATCTATTCCAAGTTCTATGAGAACTCTGGGATATACTAGAGGTCCTCTGCATATAATTAACAGATTTATTTCTTTATTTCCCATGTTAATCCCCCTAACATTCTTGTTTTCTTGTCCTACTGCAAATCCTAGAACATCCAATACCATGTCAAATGAATTCATTTAAACAGAAATCATGCAAAGCAAGTTTAATTAGCTGCATTGGTGTTGAATCTCAAGCATATAATAAATCATTAAAAAATATTGGGTAGGCACAATCTGACTTACAAATAATCTCAGAAGATAAAGCTGTGTGTGCCGTCAATGGAGCGACAGCTGCTTCATCAAGCAAACCCAGAGGATGCCAACCTGTGGAATAGTCAGAATATTCCTTTCCCACTTAATGATGCCAAACCAGCCACGTTTCATAGATAGACTCAGTGGACTACCTAAGGTGTCCCCCAGAGCTTCATGATGACCACCTGACATGTCGCTGGAAAGGTTTCATGCCAATTATAGGTTAAACTGGCAGACCTCCAAGCCTATTTCTTTTCTCAAGGAAATCAGCATGAAGAGTCCTCAGGTAGAATGGACCCCAATACACTTCATCTAGGGGAGGCTGTTATTGCCTGGCAAGACAAGCTCTTTTACCCAAGGCACACTGCTCAAAATGGTCTAGAGAGACCAATCCCATTTCTGCATCCCCTTCTGTGTACATTCATGCATTCTGAGAAAACTAAGAAACAAAGCTATTTTTTTCCCACACGGAGCTATGCCCAGAAGAACTGGAAATGATGCACCTGTTTCCATTCCTTTTCCCTGGATTTCTGGTAAATGATCCCAGCTGCCTGGCTCCCCTAAAGGACCCCAAAGCAACGAAAATCAGGTTCTCCTCATCCTCACAGCATCTAGTTTAACTTCAGAGCTCAAGACCAAAAAGCACACCAGGGAGGGAGGCCAAGGAGACCCTACCCACCATACCAGCAGCAAACCCATCTAGATGGGTTGGTCTATAAATGAATGGCTTTTCCCCTGTTTTCACCCAGGAAATCCAGCCGATTGCCCGACCCAGGTAAGGTGTTATCTAAACAGGTGCCCCGTGTTGTATCCTGCCGGGTTTACAACAACATCGACGACAAAAACCAACCAAACAATCCCGCTTTGTATAAACTCGAAAGCAGCCAGGCTCGCCTTTTTTCTAGTCCAGCCAAGGTCCAACACTCCTACACTTGTCGGTCACAGGGGCGGCAGAGAACGGGGAGTGGGGCAGAAGAAGCAGCTGCCGAAGTCCCCCTGGCCAGCCCCGGAGTATACCTTCCCCAAGTTATGGAAGGACTGGCTCCGGAGGGGTGCTACTCGGTCACATCCACTTACTGAGAGGACAGCCAGACAACAGCAAGGTACACAAGGAGCGGCTCTTTGCCTGGGCTGCATTTGGCCAGCCGGCCGGCCCCTTTCCCCACCCCTCGCCCCCCACTCCCTGAAGCCTCTGTTGGCCAAGGAAGAGACGGGATGGAGGCGTGGGTCCCGAGATGTGGAGGTCTCTTACCTGAGTTGATCAAGCTGTGCATTCTCTGTTGAGCCAACAGCTGCTCCCGACCAGCCACCCCATCTGAAGAAAAACAGGATTCCGCCTCGTAAATTGCCTGCAGCATATCCCCATCAGAATGCCCTCCCTCCCCTTCAGCTAGGGAAGATGCATCCGCTCGCCCAGGGAACACGGGCTAGCTAAGGGAAGCGCCCCTCTGGCTCCCAGTGGGGTGGGCAGGACAGCAGAAAAGAAACTCGGTACCTCACCCCCCAATCCATGAAGACGTGCACTGCCCCCCACCCCTTCCCTGTGCCCCATCTAAATGCTTTAAACGCCTTGGCAACCTGCTGCTGAAGGAAAACGACCCAGGAGCTAAACAGATAAAGAGAGAGAGGAAATTGAGCAGAGAGAGCCCTCCCTGGCTCTAGCCTATCCAGGAAACCCGAGCAGGTGAAGAAGAGCAGCGCTGCTCCAGGGTTGTCTGCCTGTCTGTCTGTTTGTCGTCCTCCCTCCCCTCCCCACTCCAAATGATATTAATGAAGGAAGACTGATGTTAACAAGACAAGGAAACCAATGGACCCCGGCTTCACCAGAGGCTCTAAGATCATAGAGATCTAGCTGAAATTACCCTCGGTCCCTCCCGACAAGTGGTTTCGGTCCTGGTGCCTTCCTCCTCCTCCTCCTCCTCCCTGTGTTTGTGTGTTTGTGTGCGAGAGTGCGTGTGTGCGTGTGTGTGTGTGTGTGTGTGTGTGTGTGTGTGTGTGTGTGTGTGTGTCTTCCCCTTTCTCTGTCTCTGGTCTAAAGTTGGCTAAGGCGAGTGATCATCCATTTGCATATGAATCAACAACAGCCTGGCCCACAGGCAACAGAAATAGAACAATGGCCGGCCTGAGCCAAAAATAGGTCAAGCATGGCTGAGTGATTGGAGCCTGAATTAATGCATTTAAAAATACCACCGCAAACACAGCTGTCCCCAGCTCTATCTCGCCAACCAGAATTCTCTATTGCACAGCCTCAAAAGGAATTAACCCCTTCCTCTCGCCGGCCGGCCTGCCTGGCTGCCTCGGCAGCTCACCGGCTGGGTGTGCACGCATGCATTCATGCAGCTTGCAAAGGCACCGAACAGGCACAGTCAGCCCCAGATGGGACAGGGCCCACCGGCCATGCATTTTATTTTTGCAGTGCGGGTTCTGTTTTAACAGACAGTGAGCAAGCCGAAAGCGAAGAGCTCCGCATTGGTTCTAAAATGATACTGGAAGCTTTTGCTCCAGCGTGTGGTTTCTGCCTCACCCACGCACAGAATCCTGGAGTGCTATTTTTGTTGCCTCTTTCTCTGGCTGCACTGCAGTTGGCTGCAGCCCTGGAAGCTTTGCTGCCTTTCTAGTTTCAGAACTGACAGGAGATTTATCTCGGCGAGGTGGTTTCTGGAAGGAAGAGCCTTCCTCTGTCCTCACCCCCCACCACCACATCCCCACCCCAGCCCAAGTGTTTATCAGGCATATCAGTTGGCCATTTCTCAAATCCTTCTGCTGTCTTAGCATCCCTTTTCAATTACACAGCCTCTCAGCTTTACTGGCTCTGATTCTTCCGATTTCAAAATACAGAAATATGGATGAGCATTGTAGACCTGTGTAGCACATTCATCTCTCAGGAGACTTCAGCTACCTAAGAAAAGGAAAAAAATCTGGAAATGCCTGATAGATGGGCCAGTCATAGGGAAATAGGGAAGACTAAGTTATGGATGTGCAGGATGCTTCAATGGGCTGCTCTGAATGTGAACAGAGTGCAAGGAAACTGCCTTCCCAGCTCAGAGTGCCTCTCTGTAGTAATAATAGCTGACATTTTTTGTATTTATTTTCAGGCTCCAAAGCACTTTAAATGTTGTCTTCTTTTATTCTCTTAACAATTCTGTGAAGCAAGTACTATTATTATCCTCATTTTACAGACGAAGAAACCAAGGCTTACAAAGGTTAAGTGACCAGCCCTAATCACATCTTCTGAGTCCAAGTCTAACATTCTATGTACTAAACCATCCTTGTTCGAGGCAGAAGAGCATGGGAATCCTGAAGATAAGCACAGTGAGGACAAGAGTTCTGATCATCTTTACTGGAGAGAATGCCCACATCTGGGACACCACAGATCCACTGGAAGGTGACAATCTTTCTTGCTATAATCATGGATTCTGGAAAGGATTTGTCACTTGCTTGCCCCGTGGCAGCGGCCCTGGGACATCCTTGACCAAGACACCCTTCCCTGGCTACCACTCCCCTGTGTGTCTTCCCCATTAGAATATAAGCTCCTTGAAGGGAGGAATGATCTCGTTTCTTTTTTCTCTGTATCCCCTAGCACCATGCACAGTGCTTGGCAAATAGTATTAAGCAATTTTTCATTCATTCATATATTTGTTCATTCATGCAAGGATACTAAGTAATAGGTTCCAGTTTGGTTATATAAAAACATATTTGGATCAATAAGAATAAGCATTCTCTGCAATCCTATTAACAAACAAAATATATTCCAAAGATCATCTATAAATACCTGTTATTCACATTTGACAACACATCTTTGTAGCTACAAATTTGGTTTTGCTTAAGCATTTAATAAATGTCTCTTAATTGATTGGCAGGACTATTGGTCACTGTGTTGTGTATATGAGTTATCGGGGGGAATAAAACCACCACCAGCAGGGTACTACCTGTCCTCCAACCTCTCCTATCTGTGTCCATGTCTACACCCCCCCTCCCTCTCCCACCTTCCCCCTTCCAGCTCTGCCTCCCGTGGCTGGCCCTAGCCGGAGTGTTCCTCCTGTTCTCACTTCTCTGTCTCTGGCCCCCACGTGTCCTTGAACCATGTGCCACCTCTTCCATCTACAGACGCACAGCCCTCTTCCTGCCTTCCTCCCTCTCTCCCTTCTCCATTTGGTGGGCAAATTTGCATTATGTAAAAATCACTTTACATAGAGGTCTGCAGAATGGTCCACTCGTATAAAGCAAGAACTGTCTATAATACCACTAATATTCCATATGAAAGTAATCCAAACTGTACATAATGTTAATGATGAAAAAGGTCACATTTTTTATTTGATTTCAGAATAGCTTTGGGGATCCTAAAAGGGTCATAGAAGAAGACAGTGAAAGAAAACTCAAGATTCTGACAAGATCCCCACCACAAACATTTCATTATAGCAAACTGAGAAAACCAAATCAACTCCATATCATACTGCCATTTTGTATAGCTGCTGGAGTTGTCTCATTTTCCTGAGTTTAGTCTTCCTGTACGCTGCATGACTTTGGGAAAATCATTTTTTATTGTACCATTAAATGTTTTTCGGGATGCAGTTGAATGTGACCAGAGTCCCCAAACTCTAGAAAGTCCCTAAATCTTAAAATAATAACTGCTAAAAATAGTAACTCTACTTGATTGTTAAAAGCTTTTTAAATCTCTCTTCACAGTCTTTGTACCTGCTGAAGAGGCCCAGGACCCTATTTCTTCTGCAGTTGCATGCCTTGCTAATAAATCACATAACCTGACTTTGTTTCCATGGTTATCATAAAACTACTGGTGACAAAGTTTAGATGTTCTTCATTTAATTGAAAATGCAAGTGGACAATCCCAGTATATCCCAGAATATCCAAATTACTATGAAGACAACAAAGTCAATCTTTGATGATCCCCATTAATTTCTGGGAGAATGGGAACAGCTGATATTTAAAAAAAGATTATAAAAAAGTAAGTAATTTTTACTTGACATTAAAATGCACTTCCCTGCTCATAATGTATCATATATATATATATATATATATGATATATTCAAATGTACACACACACACACACACACAGAGTATCTCCAATCAGTCATTCAATAAGTAAGCATTTATTAAGTATCTACTCTATGCTGGTGGTGTGGCTGGGCACCCAAAGACTAAAACAAACAGTCCCTACTCTCAAGTAACTCAGTTCATCAGAGTCCTCAAGAAACTCCAGTGCTTCCGGGATCATCTCACCTCCTTTGTTTGTCTGTAAAGCCTGGCCCAGTCTGGTTCTAGCCTACCTTTTCTGGCAAAGATGCACCTTCCTCTCTACCTGCTCTGGCTCGTCAATGCTCCATTCCTTATACAGGATAGTACATCACTGTTCCTGCAAAGCCTGCCCTCCTCACTTCTGACTCAGCTTCCCTAGACGCCCTCAAAGCTCAGCTCTAGAGCCCCTACGGCAAGCCTATTTGAACCCCCTGCTTGTTTGTGCCCTGTCTTCAGAAATATCTTCACATCTACTTTGTATATATTTTGGGTAAGCTTCTCTATGTGCCCATTGATTCACTGATAGTATGTAACCACTCTGAGCACACCCAGAACCAGCTGTCACTGAGCACAGGCTTCATCATTAAATATGCTTCCAACATGATTACAGTCAGAGCTCTCTCCCAGCCCAGCCTCATCTTGTACAGGAAGATACCGAAGCCCAGAGGACTAATGTTATTTACTCAAGGTCAAACAGATGGTGGAATCAAAATTTGAACTCAGGTCCTGAGACTTTAGGTTTATAAAGAAATAGTTTTCAGATCTGGTATAAGGAAGGCAGTGAATGAACATGTCTGCCACATTCACTTCACAGAAAAGATCTCCCCAAATATTTACTACGCTGAAAATAAATGACCTGGAGATCAGAGAAATTTGGCAGCTTTTTCTTGAGGCAGTCTTTTTCAAAGCTTGTAATTAGATGGTTAAAAAACATAAATGGATCACGTGTCTTTGTTCTATTGACATTTTTCAAATTAGCCAGTGGGGTGTATTATTAAAGTACAATTTTTTAAAAAACCAAAACAATCCATCCTTATAAGCAATGCAGGGAACATTGGAGACCAAACGTAGGAGAGAAGGGTTGATAAGGCTGCCATGGACTGGTTGGGGGGGGGGCATCCAAAAACACTGACGAGGCTTCCACGTGACAACAACCTAAGAACCAGAACAAGAGGACTCTCCATGCTGGGAGTCCCCTGGCCACTTTCCTCTGATGCTGCCTTCTGCTCCAAGCCCTCTCTGATTTTCTGTCTCTTCTCAATGGTACCCAATACCCATACG